TGAAACTCTGAGTACCAACAAAAAGTTGTATTTTTTACATTTTAATACTAAATAATTGTATATATATATATATATATATATATATATATATATATATATATATATATATATATATATATATATATATATATATATATATATATATATATATATATATATAATATATATATATATATTTATATATATATATTATATATATATATATATATAAATATATATATATATATATATATATATATATATATATATATATATATATATATATATATATATATATATATATATATATATATATATATATATATATATATATATATACCCCCAAATTTATAAATAAAGGACTTATGTTTAATTAGTTATTAATTACGTCTCAAAATCGGATATTTTGCCCGACTATGCACTGCCCAATAACACAGTTCCGAAACCAACCTGTTCAACGATACATCGTTATATAGTTGATATTTATCGCTATATAGCTGATATATAGTCGTGTTTATTTTTTTTTATTTACTTATTGTTAATATTATTAGTATTTTTTTTTTCAATATTGCGTTACTAGCATTTTATATTATAGCACTAATTTTTATTAGATATATATTTTGGACCTGAGTACACGTGATACGTCATATTTCCGGTAAATGTCGGCAAAATAATAATCCCGAATAAATATATAAATACAGTCTTCCGGTTGGAATTGATAATACTAAACTAATGCTAGATAATTTATACGTTATTGATGATGGTATATGATATATATGAATTTTTAAAAATTGTAATTATCTATTTACGATTACTAAAACAAACGGCATTCTTTAGCATTTCAGTTTTTGCGTTATCTTCCTTTTATTGTTTATATATTATGATATTACCAAAGAAAATTTAATTAAAGAAAAAGAGTTGTTATGTTTCTTGTCTTTTATTTATATGGATTGATATGAAGCTTATATGGGATTTTTTGTTAAAAACATCATGATATAATTTAATAAAGCATATATGTTTCAAAATAAACATTTGTAAAATATGTTGCAGTTAATGCTGAATATAATATAACAATATCACTCATTTATATATATATATATATATATATATATATATATATATATATATATATATATATATATATATATATATATATATATATATATATATATATATATATATATATATATATATATATATATATATATATATATATATATATATATATATATATATCATTATCCTTGAAATTTATGACATTTAACATTAGACCTTGAACATAAATCTTAAAATACTGACTTAAATCAAACAGTTTTTAAAAATATTGACTTAATCCAAAAATTTTTTCAGAATAAGAAAAAACAAAGAATAATACAAATTTTTTTATTTTTTCATTATTTTTTGATCATATACAGATAAATACTTTTTTAGGTCAGTCAATATTTTTATATTTCCTGCATGTTCTACCTATTTAGGGCAATCAATATATAAACACTCCAAGGATGCTCTAACTGTTTAAATCAGTTGATATATGTGCAATCCTTGTATGTTCTCCTATTTAAGTCAGTTGATATATGTACACATTTGTCAATAAAACAAAAATAAAAAAGTGTAAAACAAAAAGAGAACATCATTTTAAATGTATTTTTTTTTTTTCATAAATGATTTATTTATGAAAAAAACTTTTAGTTTATTGTGGTTTTTTAAAAAGCAAATAAATTTAATGTAATTCTTCAACTATTTATATATCTATACACACACACACACACACATGTGCAGGCACACACATTTAATTTTTAAACATCTTGACATCCAACAAGACTGCAAGCAACAACTATTAGAAGCGGAATTTTTTGGAAAAGAAAAAAAAAAGTTTAGATAAAGCAAGACAACGATTTGCAAATTATATGAATTAGGAAAACAAGATGAAAGAGCGAACTCCAAAGAACTGATGTTCAAGAAAATAGCTAGACAAATAAGAATTTTTGGAGCACTTAGGAAAAGTCATAGAAAAAGGATGAGAATGAGTTGAATGATGTGTAATACAATAATGAGTTTTAATAGATGTCATAAAAGACTCTTTAAAGCAGCACCCATTATAATATTTATAGAATAGAGAAAGAGAAGCAACACTGTCAATGATCTGGCAATGGTTGAAAGTTGGATGCAAGAGCAGGGCCAACTATGTTTGCCTATAAGAGAAAGGGCATCATTCAATGATTTGCTCCAGATATGGCAACAGCAATCCATACAAGGATAAATGCAAGATTTTTAAAGATAAAGAATAGAATCAGGAGTAAGAAAGTAGCAAGCATGATAAAGAGATGAAACCTTAGCAGATGCTAATTTTGCAATGGATTTGATATATCGTTTCCAAGAAAGATCTGAATTAAGATTTAATCCTAGAAAACGAAGGGCAGATGACTTATCTAGTACACTACCGCTTATAAATATAAAAAGATGTAGATTGTTGCA